ACAATCGACGCTTCATAACTTAAGGTCGGTTTAGTTTTCGGCTGTTGGTCAATGCCTATTCATTCTTTGCCTATCACTTAGCGGCGAGGATGCATTCCTGCGGCTATCACAACGGATGGGCTGAGCCGCACGACCGATGCTACCATGGATCACTCAGCTCTCCATCTCAGTGCCAATCACCTTCATCTACGGAGGACAATCTTGGCTTAACATGTCCACAGGTCTTCGTGTTCGGGCCAACCGACCACAGTCATATGTAGACGTCATGATAAGTAATTGCAGACCTACTCGAATCATTAAACTTATCCAATTGGCAACTAAAAGTAAGCGTTATGTCCGCTCAATTAGAACACTTCTTATGATGCACTCTAGGCAACAGGGATTGTATTAAAATGATTTCCGACCTCTGTAGTCGTTAAAAGACACTACTGTCAATTCCAAAGTAAACATTGTTTTTTACAATACTCCAACAGGTTTTCGTGAGTGGCGGCTACCATGCCTATGCCCAGTACGCCGACGAGTTCAACGATTACGTAAACGCTGTTGCTAACCTGGTTGATGAGGGTTACGAGTTTCGTCCAGGCAGTGAGGACCTTGTCCGCGTTGAGCAATCGACGCCGTCGATTTACCGTCCTCGTGCTGGCTCTTTTCGTGCACGCGAAGAAAGTCCGGAAGACAGCCAGGACTCAGCTCTAACCCAACTTCACAATCGTCCGAAACGCCGTTCCGTAGCGTGCACATCGCCTCTATACCAAATACCCCATGATAAGGGGGAGGTATCATCCCCGCCTACCGATGATTATGCTTCTCCTCAACAACGACATCGCTCTTCCACCCTACACCCTCGTCCTCCTCCTTACTTCACGAATGAAGACCCTTCGTCCTAACCCAGTGGAAAACCCTACCTCCTGGCTCTTTTAAACCAGATATCCTACGATTTTATGTTATGCTGCTTCCATTACCTTTATTTTATCCTTTGAATCTGCTCCACATCCGCGTCAAAGCTGATTTTTTTCGCTCTCAAACAGTTTTTTTTATCTCCAGTGCCTTGTGATTTAAAAAAACTGCGCACGCGCGCGCATATGAACATTTCAGCCATATTTGTTCATTTTATTTTGGCTGTGTTGGTGCTATATGAAGTTTCCTGGTATTTGCTCTTTATTTCATACACAAAGTTTGGCTCCGTCTCTCTGTGTGTGTGTGTGACGACTTCCTGTGCTGCCGTGACCTAATGACGCATCGTGTGATCCTCGTAGGTTCTAGCTAATCGGCGGAAAATCTGCCTGTTCGCTGCAACATCTCGTAATCCTATCGCTGGGTGTCTGCGCCTACTCTCACACGGATGTGTGCGCGGTCACATGCGTGAACTTGCTGTTCTCACTGAAGGAGCGAGAGAGAGAGAGAGAGAGAGAGAGAGAGAGAGAAGATCGGAAGAGCGTCGTGTAGGGAAA